TAATGCATAAACACTAAATTGGGGAAAAAAGAACTATGAAATTTTGGCACAGGCAATAGAACGCACTTATTGAACAATACGATGAAAAAGGTAATACTACTATGTTATCCAGTCAATGAAATCCACAACAGTTAGTTTAAGCCAGCCATATAGGGAGGTGTGAACTGTCTAGGGTCCTTGGAATGGTAAAAACCAATAGAGGCTGTAGAAAATCAGTGATATCGCTCAAAATCGTTTTCAATGGCTGGTGCAGATGTATTCACTCTTTGTGACTTGTCATATCCAATAAAACTATATTGTTCTTCGATATTACTATTCTTTTTGCCTCATATCTCTGTTCACTGCCACTGTTTTGCACTTCTTATTACTTTCTTCACTTGCTTTGTGTGCTAAGCGAAGTGTGGCAACTCGAACTGCTGCACATCGGTGTAAAGTTCCACGTTGAAACCAGTCAGTCAGCCAGAAGATGATTAGTATTGGAAACGTTAATGTGATAGTTTTTTGACACCTGAGGTTTCAAGATTTGAAGTCCCTGTAGCTGTGGTGTCTTCAGTCTCGCTTCCAGCCTTCTCTATCTTGACAGGTGTAGTACCAACTAGTATACTAAGCGATGTTAATGAGCGCGTCAGTCTGGAATCCACAACTGACCACCCGCATGGTTGCCAAGCATCCCATTAATGAGGAGTCATCAACGAGCTATTAGAATCTTAAATTAAGTGTTTACAAGTTGTGTCAATTAATCAAGGCTTAAAATTTTATATTTCTTTTATCCTGTAACCAAATCTAACGGCAACGGATTTAAATCCCTTCTCGTATTGCCATATACCCCTCATTTCGTTAATATCTCTAAAATAATTGCATCTTATAGTCATCAGACACTCAAACACCCTTCCGTATATCCCACTGTCTCGTGAAAACCGGCCACTCATTGGTTCCTGACTCTTTAAACTTAAGAATGAATTTAACGCTTGCCAGGGTTATTTGCTACTCACATATATTTAGCATTGCTGTCAAGTATTTAAGACAGTTGGAACTCTTTTGTTTACGATTCATCTTCCGCATAGTGATGCGGTTGACATTATGACTTAGCGCGATGACAGAATGTAATATAACTGGCAGTTTAATAGGCTGCATTACCGATCATATCAATATATACAAAACTGTAATGAATCCTTTACACTGAAATACTGATTCATTCAAGAATGTTGTTCATTGGCTCTGGAATCTAAATTTCGGTCAGTAAGCCAATGGATTTGAGTCTCGCTCCATCCACTCCAACCTGAGTAGTGTCATTAGCTCTCACACAATAAGTGTATGCATATAGCATAGTACTGAGCTATAAATCGTTACAATGTTAACATAAGTGCTTGTCACATTTATGCCGAATGGATTTTGTCTTATAACCAACCACTTTTACGAATAATAAACTATGACGTCATCCACCATTCAGAATGTGAACAAATTACACGGAGAACGGATGTCAAGTGGTTATTTTTTCTACTAGATATATCTTGTCTTCCATTCCTATGCGTTCCCAGTGGAATCTAAGGCTTTCAACCTTGAACTTTGAACTTCCAGGAGCAGTGGTGTTACTCCTTTTTATGGAGTGAGGTTTCTATAGCCTCACACCCAACCTTCCCTTTTTATTGTGCATACAACAACTGGTTAAGGGAGATAAAGGTGTGCGCTCAAGACGGGAATTGAACCACGCACTCCAATTGAGGCGTCGTTGGCTAGCACATTCTACCGCTGAACCACCGATGCACATATTAGACATGTACAGTGTGTGTAAACTGACCACATGCATTTGGTGTTCACCTTAAAATTAACAATAGGCTTGATCTATTGCAAGTATTGGTTTTGTTGGGATTTTTCGATTGTTTGGAGGATTTCATCATGAGCTGACATCAGTTAGGGAATCATTAAAAAAGTTGGGAGGATTGGGCAGCTGTTTCGAGCTAGTTTGGGACTCTTCAACAGTACGCACCCACCGGGGCTCGAACCCAGGTCATTAACCTTACAAGGCAAGCTGGCTTGTAGACCATTAAGCCTCTGGGACCCGATCCAATAGCTCTGCCAATTCATGACACTGGTTCGAGCCTACGTAGGTGCGCACTGATGAAGAGTCCCAACCTAAGACGAAACAGCTCTCTGGTACTCCCAGGTTTTCCAATGGTTCTCTAACTGCAGTCAGCTTATGATGAAATCCCTCAACTGATTTACGTCAATCATCAAAGTGGACCTCGAAAGAAACATTTGTACATCCACTGATCAATCAATAAGAAACCAAAATTGAAAAACAGGAGAAAAAGTCAAACCAGCGTAAACTGAAAGTCATTTATTTCATGAAAACACTGTTAGTAAAATGGTGGAGCTGGGAGGGGAGGTGAGGGGATTTGCATGCCGAGCACAACCCATATCTCACATTTCACACTCACAGTTCATTTTCATTACAAAAGTAAGTACACTGTAATTATTATTCTCACCCATACATACATACATACACCTGAATTCATTATTTGAATTGACAATAAAATGCCTTTATGACCCAGCAATCAATCAATTAACGCAAAATAAAATCAATAGTTTAGTTAGTTGGAGTAATCCTCACTTTACAAATGAAAGAAGAGAAACAAAAAGGAAAGTGTTTCATCAGTATATCTGTGCATGTGCATGTCTGTGATAAGGCTGTTTGGAATACACACATATCTCCTATCCTATCATCTAGTAAACAAATGACCTGATAACGATAATGAGCAGTGCACTCTCCACTTCAGAAGAAGGACTAATTTCACACGAAAATAAAATAGACAGCAGCAAGAAAGACGAGAAGTGAAAAAAAAATAATACACACAGATAGCTGAAGAGAGAGAGATTTTCACGTGATTCAGTTAAGCACAGCACATACAAGTGTGATTAGAACTGACTGACGACGGTACCACACGCTAGTACGCACGCACGCACACACATACACACATGGGGGTGGTCGTAAAATCTAAGAAGGAATTCGATAAGTTTTATTATTTTTGCGATAACTACACTACACTATATGTCTATATACACACATATTCAGAGATCAAACGCAGCACATCCCACCCCTCCAAAAAAACCAAACAGTTAATTTAGTTTTACAAAAAGAAAGAGATTGAATGTATTGTAAAGGGTAAAAAATAAAACAATAAAAATGGCTCCAGTTCACACAGTCAACGAGGAACGAAAGTGATGAGTGATGAATGAACAAGTGTCTGAGCGTGTGTAGGTGTATGTGTGTGCATGCAATGTACAGATAGAGAGATTGTGCAGCACCCTATGATACACACAAACTTCTACACAGGATTTTACTTACTTACTTGTTGTTATTGTTATTATTGCTGGTGTTGTTTATCTAATCTGGATAATTAACTCAACTATAGGTGTGTGACTAAGCACAGTAACATACATACATAGTATAACTCTCACCTATCTACCCCACACAGACTATAAACTCTGCTTTCAATGTTTACGAAAGTATGAAAATGAGGAACGCCGCAAAAGTTGAAAAAAAAGCGAGAAAAGCAGACGAAAAGAAAAATCAAACGAAAATAAATGGCGAGACTCACAATCATTGATGATTAGTAAGTACTCACAGTCAATAATACTAGTGATTATTGTCGCTAATCAGGGATTATCAATCACCTATACACATACATCGTCGAAATATTTGCATTTGTTATCCATTCAATTTCAGACTAAACACATACACACATACACACACCAAACAAGCGACATTTGCAATGGACATACTACTACCAAACCTACAGGTATGTACAATAAAAAGCAGGAATCGATTTTTTATTTATTTGTTTTTTGGGGGGGGGGGCGGGGTGGCTATCTTATGCTCTGAAACTGACGGGAGGATCGATAGAGAGAGGATGGAGATAGGGTACGACAGTCGAATCTATACAAATGAAGAGACACAAAAGACACTGCAATTGTATATTTATGTAGGTATATATATATTCATAAGTGCGTGCCTAAAACGATAAGCCATACAGCACTGCACTGCCCTGGACTGCAGACCGGACCGCAGTACCACTCTCTTCACACACTATACTACTAGCGGTAATGATTGATAAGAAAGGAAAAAAATCTCTAAAAATAACAAAAACTTTTTTAAACTATTTCAAAGGAATAATAATAATAATATCGAATAATGCTAATTGGACACATTGGACAGCTATATGCAGTGTGAGTTGTAATCCAGAAAAAAAAAGGGGGGATTACAATTTTCGCCATGCACAAATAAAAACGAGGTCGGCAGGGCGGGGGAGCAGGATGGAGTACAGAACTCATCTCTAATTTTTTCTTAAAAAAACAACTAAAAGTTGAGAAAAGTGGAGGAAAAAGACTGGCAGGGGAGGTGACAGTGAAAGGGTATATATATATTTTCCTGCAGCACTTATAATAATGTGAATGGAAAGCCCGTTTCGATGATGAAAAAGAAATAACAATGACATGAAGAGACAGAGAGATAGAAGGCATGCATTGTGTGTCGGTAAAACAAAATCAATTAACAGAGAGATCAACAGGGTGGCCGTGGTGGGAGCAGGGGGTAATCATCAGGTACATAAATACAAGTCTCTACTACACACACCACACATAGAGAGTATTTACAGGAGTTCACATTTAGAAAAAACAGGCATAAAAACGAAAATCATGGTACACATACATACACACTTCTTGAGAAGTAAAATTATTTTGAAGTGTGGTAATGATGATAATAATAATAATATTAATAAACTGTTACAATCGGAATAGCAATTTTATCAATTTTTTTTCTCTTTAGAAAAACAGCATGTTGTGACAATTTGAATGAAAGATTCAAAGACTTTCTTTTTTGATTTGATAATAGTAGTAATAGTAATAATAATAGTCATTATTACTATTGTCATAAATAGTAATTTTGTAAAAGCCATTAGTAGTGATGATGATGATGATAACGATAACAATAACAGTAATAAACCTCTAAATTAGCTAAGAGTAAAAACTGAAACTGAGTAGCCAGGAGAACAGCCATTTTGGTTTCAAATGTACAATAATGTGAATATTTATGCTGACACCACCACCACATTACATCATAACACAGAGAAGAGATTTTCGCTGATCAAAAACAAACGAAAAAATTCATCAGTATACATGTGAAGGGTGTGTTTGTGTGTGATACAAAAACAAAAGCTGGTTGTGTTGTTGGCTGGTGGTAGATGTTCGTGGATTATAATACTGTGGGACAGGCAGAAAAATTGTAAATCAAGACGAACAATCCCCGAGACTGTGACTCAATAAGCACACGTGTGCACGCACACCTACAGATCACGAAAGGTTTTGTTCTGCTATTTTGAAATGGACGAAGTTGAACAAGAAAATAGTAATAATAACGATAATAGAAGCACAAAAAAAACCAATTTGTAATACCAAATCCAACTATACAAAGTTCAAAATTATCCACAGAGAAAGAAATATGTATCATATTGTTACCGGAATAAGAGATTATCCAAATTTGTAGACCACGGCGTGTATGCGTAGACGCGCGCGCGCGCATGTGTGCGTGTGTGTGATAAGGACTGAATTTCATTCTAGTTGGTTATTGTGTATGGTCAGTCAGGTCATCGAACAAACTGCAGAAAAATATACACCATGAACGCACAAATCAGCACCATCATGGGAATAACAGCGAATAGGGAAAACTGAAATAAATAATAATAAAGAAAAAACGGAATGTTACAACACTACAAGAATATACTTTTACACTCTGATAAATGCAACAATTTTTTTATTCCTTTACGTTCCCAGTGGAACACAGGGCTTCAAGCTACAGGCTTAAAGTTTCTGTAACAGTGGTGGGGTCGCTAACCTCACGCCCAACCTTCCCTCTTTGTCAGTCCTATTACTGGCTTAGCGAGGTAAATGAGTGCGTCGGTGGCCGGGGATCGAACCCTGAACCACCTGCATGGCTGGCGAGCATTCTACCGGTGTGCCACCGACGCACACAAATGCAACAATGGTTGTCTAACACACATCGATACAGTAGGAACTCCTCGAGCTTTAATAGATCGACACCGCAAAAGCAAGTCTCTGAAGCTTAAACTGGTTGAAGTTTAAAAATTAGAGCTTAATTTCCAACCAGTTGTGTGTATATATATATATATATATACTCTTTAAAACTAATGTACTTAAAGTTTCATCTGAAACCCAGTAACTGTTTGAAGTCAATTACACAACTTATGTGTTATAACCAATGCTTGTTTTAAGCATACTACTATCAGCGTTTTTAAAGGAACAGTTATTGATTCTTAGTCTTAAAGAGACGGAGTGAAATGGTTGGACATTCTGATCACTTCATTTATTTGGGAAGTCGTATCAAGCCTGACGTACTAATTGCTGGCGAAATCTCAGAAAGGATACAAAACGTTTGTGTCGCATTTGCTGTCTCTAGGTTAAACATGATATCTGGCTATCGATCACAAGGGGTGTGTACACGGATAGTGCAGTAGTTCACCACGTCTTTCTTTATGTCTGTGAGAAATGACCGTCTAAAATGTACGACATAAAGAGGCTAGCTATCTTTAATGACAGGTGTTTGAGTCCCATCTCTTGGGATAATTGGTATAATATCGTGAGTAATACTGAGGTTGTGAAGCAGCACCGATTGAAATAGTTAGGACACAAGCTACACTTGCTGAAAACCCGCCTTTCTCGTCAACCAATGTTACTCAATCGAGGATTCGGTTGGAAGAGTTGGGAATGGTCAAATCGAAACCCTCAATGAATCCACAAATTCTTTGACAGCTGGCTAGAGCCAATCATGTAGACAAGTGAAGATTCCCTGTTTCAGATCCTCGAGATGCTAAGGAGCTATTGGCTGGAGATAATTGGTGATACGACTCAAAAGGGTTTTCAATGAGGCACATGCATTCTCACTCTTTGTAATCTCCCAGAGCGAATAAACCCCAATGTTTTTCCATGTTACTACTCTATGGAGTGTAGAAACTGGAACTGCTTCACTTCTACTCAAAGTTCCACGCTGGAATTCAGTCAGTAGGACAAGGAGGAGAAGTTACATATTAGATATTTGCATCTTTAAAACGGTTACAAAACCGTAAACATATAACTAATATATAAGCATATTTATCTACTATTGTACTACTGTTTGTTTGTAATGTGCCTTTTTACATTTATTTTCATCAAAGATAGGACTCCAAGTAAACACAGAGAAAACAAAGGTGATGAAGATTCCTAGGCAACACCAACAGCAACAGACAACAATCAGCATTATTGGGAAGAACCTGGAAGAAACAACCTCCTTTACCTACCTACCTGGGAAGCATTGTTTCAACTACAGGCGAACGGAACTGACGAGGATATCAGAACAAGGACAAGACAAGCTTTCACTACTCTCAAGTCTGTGTGGAGGTCAACAGCAATCAGAATTAAAAATAAGATCCGAATTTTCAACTCCAATGTGAAGTCAGTACTATTTACTATACGGATCAGAGACTTGGCGCCGCGTCATTAAGAGCACTTCGAACAAACCACAGACCTTCATTAACAGCTGCCTTCGCTCAATACCACTCAAGATCAGATGGCCGGCCAGAAAAGATCAGCAACAGGGATCTCTGGCAATGAGCGAACCAACCCAACAGGAACCAATTGTGCAACAAATAATCAGGAAGAAAGGGAGGTGCATTGGCCATACTCTGAGGAAACCATCAAGTGACATCACTAGACAAGACACTGCTCGAGTGGAACCCGAAAGGGAAGTGGCGAGTTGATCGTCCAAGGGCAACTTGGAGCAGGTCATGTGAAGAAGAGATGAAAGCATGTGGGCAGACGTGGAGCCAGGTGAAAACGTTGGCAGAGAACCGAACGCAATGGAGACGTGCAGCTGAAGCCTTATGTTCCTCTAGGAATTAAAGGAAATAATAATAGTATAATAATAATAATACATTTATTTCATCCTATAGCTCATCATTTCATCCTACTAATATGCTTTTCATTCAAGGGATAACAACAGCATACCACAGTTCTATCTGCCGCTTTTAACGCTTTATTTTTGCTCGATGAAAAATGAAAAGTTTGGCAACGATAGAGGAAAACCAAACAGTTGACGAGTATTTTATATCTCCAGGACTAACTGACTGACTGAGTCTCAACATAGAACTTAGCACAAAAATGCAACAGCCCAAATTGTCGCATTTCATATAGCACATAAAGACAAAGGGGAGTTTAAAAGGACTATAAAAAGCGGCAAATTGAGAGATGAGACGAGAGGGCACGAGAGATATGGATTTTTCCAGCATTTTCCGTTACGGTAAAATTAATTTTACCATACACAAATTATGAAATGGTAAAATCAACTGACCATTAATGACCTTCTCAAATGCTACCACCTGTGCATCGATGGTTCAACGGTGGGATGATCACCAACCCATACAGGTGACCCGGAGTACAACTCCCGGTTGGTGCACACCTTTACCTCATTTAACCGGTCGCAAGTCCGACAAAGCGGGGAGGTCAGGTGTGAAGCTAACAAACCCACCTCGTAAAAAACGCCACAGCTACTGTAAATTCAAAGTTCTACCTTGAAGCCCTATTTTCCACTCGGAACGTAAGTGTTACCTACATGTTCAAAACACACACATTGAAAAAAGAAAACAAGAAGTCTACACTTACACAGCACTCGTATAATTGGATATGATTAGTTCTCGGACTGGAAGATGTAGGACACTGGTTAACTGCATAAATATTTTGGGAAGTTGAATTTGAACTAGGCGTCTCATTGGGGGTTGCAGCCTTTGTATTATCAGAATCCACAGAACTCTTAGGTTCACCTAAGAGTGTAGTGGCAAGAAGTCCCTGCAAATGCTCCACTTGACGATTCGAAGCATTTAGCTAAAAATATAAAAAACAAATAAAAATTAGAGGCCTAAACAGTTTACAATATTCAAACAAATATTTACATCATGCATGTGCTAACACTGCTGCCCTCATCAATGTGTATCTATCAATTTACCTCATCCAATGGAGCTAGGTATATCGACAGTACTCAGCGTTTGCTCTCCAAACGTATCATAGAACACTTACCTTCATGGTTTTATAAAAAGAAAAACGATCCCTCTTGCAACTCTATCCTGGAAAACCTGATCGAATCTGGATACCTAGCTAACCCACACACCAACATTAAAGTCATCTACAGAATACGTTGGAATCCCGCTAAATGGGTACGAATCAGACTTCTTCAAACCGCAGAGGCAATGGCAATTCACATGTTAAATCCTGAACTCGGCACACATCTGCAAAAGAAGTTTGTTCAATCACTAAATCTACAATGAATCTGATCTGTCTTAACACAGGATACGTAATTTTTGGGTTTTTTAATTGTATATTTCCTTCCATCACCTGCCCTACTGCTTGACAGCATTGTTGTTAACTTGACTCCCCTTCAGTTTTAGTTGAATTCTACTCAATCCCATAAGTCATATAACGTCATTTGCTATCTAAAATTTACTATTCTAATGACATCTTTGGAAAAATACGTTTTATTGCTAATTAGAAATTTTCAAGGATTGGTTTTGTAGGGATTTTGTTTGATTGCATGGAGGATTTCATCATGAGCTGACATCAGTTAGAGAACCACTGGTTAATTCTCTTCGCTAAACATCTTTTTCTTTTGATGAAATGCCAACATAATGTATGACAATTTAAAGTATAATGACTGATTATTGCATCATTTCGTATAGTATTCATCCGTCCTAGAATTACCATAAGAAATTCACCAAACAAGGGATTTTGAAAAGGTCTCCCACGAATGAGTATACACGAAACCACTACTATTGTATGGCACTGAGCAGGAAGAAAGGTGCAGGATAAATTATTATTATTGTTCCCTTGAATTCCTAGTGGAACATAGGGCTTCAACTACACGTCTCTACTTGCTTCTGTCTTTTGCTGTACTTTTCACCTGCATCCATGTTAGTCCATACTGTTTCAACTCTTCTTCACACGATCTCCTCCATGTCAATCTTGCACTGACGTCCCACTCGCCGCTTCCTTTTCGGGTTCCACTCGAGCACTGGCCTGACGCGCGATGTCACCCAGTGGCCTCCCCAGAGAGTGTCCAATCCATCTCCACTTCTTTCTCCTGCATATTTGTTGAGCGATTGTTTTGTTCTTGTATTGTTTGTTCCCATAGTTTCTTGTTGGTGATTCTTTCCGGCCATCTGATCTTCAGTATAGAACGAAGACAGCTGTTGATAAAGGTCTGCAACAGGCTGTTGGAAATATTCTTTGTGACCCGCCACGTTTTTGATCCGTATAGAAGAACTAACTTGACGTTTGTATTGAAAATCCGAATTTTGTTGTTGATGCTGAGTGACAGCGGAAGATTTCCAGATTGGTTTCAGGTTGATGAATGTGTTTCTCGCCTTCCCGATTCTCGATTTGACATCCTCGTCCGTTCTGACTGCCTGTAGTTGAGACAATGCTCCCTAGATAAGTGAATGAAGTAACATCTTTCAAATCCCGCCCAGTTTACTAGCCCAGGCAAGAGATCCAATCTCTACAGAAACTTCAATCAATGCCAGATAAATGACAAAACAACATAATGAAGGAAAAGTAAACAAACAAATAACCAGGGGAACAGCAACATAACTGAACACAACTAACAAGCAATAGAAAGTGAAAAAAAAATAGAAAACAATACTTACTTGATCGGATAGTTTATCACGTTCACGTAATAATTCATCAATTTCTGCCTGTGCTCTCCTCGCTTCAGAAATAAGCCGATGATGATCAGAACGACTGGTTGCAACATCACTTTCAATTACAGATATTCTAGATCGTAGAGCATCACATTCTTCACGGACTAGTGATAGCAATTCTGCTTTAGCAGCATCTGGATGAAGGGAAGGGGTGAAAAAAGACAGTTAAGTTGAAAAATTGTTAGACAGAGATATCATAAAGACGAGATGGCTTGCTTGAATAGACAAAAAAGTACAAACAAAAACAAGCCAGCTAACTCAACTACACATGTGGTTGATATAAGTTAAATAGTTAGCCTACGCGATTTATTTTATTGTTCTACATTCAAAACACACAAGTCACATACGAAAATGGTATAAGTGATCAACTTCGATTTGTAATTTAAAAACCTCCATGAACGACCTACTACGTCCGAGGTTGGGTAAACTTAAACTTCGGTGTTCCTCAAGAAATACTCTCATGCAACCACATCTTCATAACCTCTGCCAGGTAAGTGCTATTCACCGCCTTCACGCCACAGCGGAGGTGTTCCTAAAAGAAAGACGAAGGGCGAATTCGAACGTGTGGAGATTACAACTGGACTCGCAGACATGCACATCTGCCTAAGTGAGCTGGAAAACCCCAATTCCAAACCTATGGTGTACACGGGTTACATAATCCGAAAGGATCGATTGGCGTATGGAGCCGGTTCGGTCACAGGAAACTACTGAAGCGCAGCTTCTGATGCTAATCCACTGAGTTGCAGATCAATGGCTTCAAATCAAAGACTCCAGAGTGGCCTCTTGAGACAACCACTTGCTTCGGTCTGGGTATCCGGGTAATAGCATCTTAGTTGTCACACAAACTATGAGATTTTGTGTGGTTCGTACTTCGGTGCCCATAGTTTACCAAGTGTGTGTTTTAATAAATAATAATTAATTCTAGTAAGTACGAACAATACGTAATGTATTGATCCTCGAACACGATAAAGAAAGCATATAGGTGATGGAACAGTTTTATTATTTTAAAAAACACCCAAGAAATAAACAGTCGAGAAGAAGAGCTTACCTTGACTGCGTAAATCATCGGTTAGTTGTTTATACTCTTCAATCTCCTTTGAAGACTCCATCAAAGCAGCTAGGTGACAAATAATAAAACAACACAGAGAGAGTAGGTTATCATGGAGCAGAACATTTAAGCATATGGAAAGGCAATCAATCAATCGTTTAACAATTCTTCCTTAACCTCTACTTTGATGTGATTGTCCTAGTTGCACATTGCAACTTCTAACTGTAGTCATCTTGAAACGTCAGGTTCGGTGGCTTAGATATGTGCTAAGAATGTCATCCCAGAGGCTTCCGTACCGGCCGCTGTTCGCCAGCCCTGGCGCCGAATGGAAAAAGCGGAGAGTTGGTCAGTCTATGACGTGGCGCCATGGGAGTGAAGGATGGCTTGTGTCAAGTTAGCACCAGTTGGTAAATCACAACTGCCTGGTTGGGATCCAAGAGCTAGTTCGCATCGGTGGCTGGCTCGAAACGTTATCAGATACGGTCAAAAGTCACAAACAATGGCGGACATGCCGTAACTTCCATTTTTTTTCTCTTCCTTTTCTGAAGGTAAGATGAACGCTAACTGATCTTAACACAAACATACTTGCTTTCTGGATGACATCCCTTACTCATTCTATCCCTACTTTCCATGCATACTGTTGTTTTATTATTGTTCTGTGGAGCATCTCTTGGTATCCACAATGTACCAAGTTGTTGTTTTCATTAAAATGATTAATACAAACTGCAAATTCAAATATTTGAAAATTGTCATCTAATACTCGACACTTTAAACTGTGTATATCAATTTGAGTGTGTTTGTGGAAGCAAATACATAGGTCGTACAGAAAGGCCAAAGTGGTTGAAAACAGCTGAATGCAAAATGCCAAAAACCTCAATAACAAAACATCTTGTGGACTACGGACATGATATCGACGCTGTCAAGTCATTCACTGTTGTCAGCAGGCAGACAAAGAAACAAGAAGATGCTTGCAAGTGCGGAGGCTTGTGCAATTAGAGTTTATAAACCAGGCCTCTGTGTACAAAAGTAATGTAATTGGAGCGTAATGCATTTTATCTTAATTTTAATCTCTAATACTAATGTAGTACACCTTGAATGTTTGAACTTTTGTTTTAACACATTCATGTACTATGGCGCCACGTCATCTTTTGTTTTTCGGCGTGACTGCTCGCACATTGCATCAGGAAACACAACAGTGCATAGGCCTTGTACTTTGACTTCACTCATCAGTACATTCCCGATAGGTAGTGTACATATCAGGATTAACCAAGGAAAGCAAGTTTAGTAGGTGCTAACGTTAAGGCCTACCTAGACGTCAGTCTCCTGCACTTACACTCCTTACCCCTTATCTATTTAAACATGACCTGGAAAACATTCACACGTGTCATTTCGTATGATTAATTCAATGTAGTTTATTTGCGCTTATCAATCTTATATCTCCCAATGTATTTACAATAGTATATATATCTCTGAATATCAAGTATTCAGCTGGAGAGTTCTACCGGAATTTCTTCCTCGTTTTAAATTCCTATCAGGAAATAAATGTTTCTAATACACAAACACCTGCAACTCGAATTATGATGAAATAAAAAGTATTACGTGACATTACTCCATACATTATCAATAGTTAAAATACTCTAAATACAAGCACACAAGGTATCCCGAGCGATTCTGGGGACATCACTCATACCAAATTCCCATGAAACTTCATGAACTCTTCGTGGTTGCTACAACATCAACCAAATTCCAGTACTGGTCCAACAACGTCGCATTCGGTGGTTTGGCCATGTTCTGCGCCGACCAGATGACGATCTGGTCAAATCAGTTCTAAATCCCTCGCTATTACCATCTTGGCGATGTCGCAGAGGTGGACAGCTGAAAACATGGCTTGGTACAGTCAAGGCTGATATGAAGTGCCTGGGGCTACAAACCGTCTACGGACTCCGTCTGTGGAACAAGAATTGGATAACCCTGTCGCAAAACCTTGCAACAGATCGCCGCACCTGGGCAGCGATGATTCGAGATGTTCATGAAGCCGGCTCATCCTAACGTAGGAGATAGCCGAATTAAAGTAAAGTAAGTATCCAGACTGTATTATACAGCGTAAAATAATATTTACTTACAACTATTAGTCGTCAGGTGCATAGAAAAAATTGTGTTATACTCACCACGAAGTTTTGAAACTTCTGCTCCTTCTTCTGGTTTTCCTTCGCCAGCATCTGAATGTTTACTTAATAAAGACGTCTCCAAGTGATTCAATTCAACTTTTGAGCAAATCGGTCCATCAAAATATGTTTCTGTTTCGATACTGGCGTCTTTTTTGATTATATTGCCAGTTACTAGAGCACTTGTAGGAGCATAGGTATCAGCTAGATTGTTAAAAGAAAATAATTAATAAAACCACCAGAGTGTGAAAATTGTACAAAACAGTTATGATTTATTGTATTGTATGTCTTGTACATGCAAACGACACTAATTGCCCTTAAATATATATATCCAAATAGTCATATTTTCTCCGAAATTTCCAGGTAAAACATACTTTGTTGCCAGCCGGGTCTGAGAATAGCATTTTCTTCCCAGAAAAAATATTTGGGCAGAGAGCAAGTGAAAGACAAGCTGTTGCAACAATAAGCGGATTACCAGTTCACTTGATCATGTGGAACTGAGTAGACTGACCGTAGTAGGTGTCCACCTGTAAAAACTCAGGATATTGTACTCCGATTGAGAAACCCTTCAAAATTGTATACACGATCAGATCAAACCTCTCACAGGGAATCAATTCAAGCCATCTGGACGCATTCAAAAGAAGTACGTCCAACTTCTGTCTTTACGATGGCTGGCTATCATAAATAGTTTGTTTTCTCAAGAAAATCATCAATAATGTTTTCTTATCCGGATGCCATATTTATTTTTTTCCTCATCATTTTTCAAATCCTTGTTTTTACTGCATAACCTCATCTTGTTATTCTGACCTCTTATCGGAAATAGTTCTGTAACTTTCTCGCGAATGTAAAGCCTTTTTGATAACTTCGATAAAAAAAGAGGAGATATTTTCCTCGTTTTATTTATTTTTTTCTATAATCGATATCCTATAAATTGAACATCGGAATAACAAGCACGGTTGTGATAACAACAGGAAGAGAAACGAATGGTAACTGTTTGTATGCATGTATGTACCTAATATAGTTGACATCAAAGGGATCAATCGACAGGTGAAGCAGATTACAAAAGCTGCATTATGTAACCATCCTTTCTATAAAATTTGTTTTTTCTACTATTAGCAGTAGTAATATCACAAAGCAGGTGCATGTATATGGTCAAAAAAAATAGTTACATTAGAACAAATTAGATAAAATGAAGTGGATAAGAGAGGAGAAAAGAGAAACCCTCGCCTACACTAATTATCCTTTGTTTTGTACTATACACTTATGATAACAACAGTCCGTAACACGATTACTATTTATTATTCCCTTGGGTTCCGAGTAGAACACAGAGCTTCAAAAGCACATCTCCACTTCATCCGGTCCTCTGCACTCCTCTTCAGCTGGCCTCACAACTGCCTGCAAACCTTTTATCTCCTTTTCGCACGACCTCCTTCGTGTTCCCCTCGGACGCGCAACTCACCATTTTTCACTCGTATTCCTCTTAAGGGACTCAAGCGCGATGTCACCTAACGGTCTCCTCAGCGTGTGTATAATCCATCTCCATTTTTTAATTGAATTTTAGATTTCCCCGTCGATTGATTGGACCGAAGTGCTCGGTCTCAGGTTGACATGTCGGCGGCTTTTTGTGTAGATGCTTCGACGAAGTCTGGGCGACTAATAAGAAGTTAATTGGTGGATGGTGAACAGCAGAGGAATCCAGGACGCGCATTTCGTCCTATTCTGGACTCGTCATCTGGATGCACCTGCACTGCACAGTGAGTTCGAGTCTCGGTAGGAACATCATCACTCACTGAAGAACGCAGATACATCCAGTTGACGAGTCTCAAATAGGACAGGTGAAATGTTCATTCTGGATTCCACTGCTAGTTACCATCCACCAACTAAACATCTCCATTTTCTTCGAATATTTCTTCAACAACAGGTTCTTGATTGGTTCATTTCCAGAGTTGCTTGTTGCTAATTCTTTCTGGTTGTTGATATGTCTGCATTCTGTTTATAAATGCTCTTCATGATGCGCGCGTCAATTTTCGGAACCGTATAGAAGTCTACTTAGCACTGCTGTTGAAAATCTGAATCTTGTTCTTTATGATGACTGAGTGCACAAGATTCCCAAACTGATTTCCGAGTGATGAAGGTCGGTCTTGCCTTCGCGATTCTGGTTTTCACATCCTCATCCATGCTGTCACCTGTAGTTGGAAACAGGCTTCCTAGATAAGTGAAGGAAGTAACCTCTTTCAATTTTCTTTCCATTGACAACATTACACGTTCCCACGCCGACTGACTGGCTTCCCAAAGGCATTCTCACCAGTCCGCATTATTCTGTCTCTACGATTCCTGAGAAAAACAAGCTTGTTTTTGATATTTTTGTCATGCTTTGAAGTTTTTATAGCGACTGGATTGATTTTCTGAGGTAGGGTCATTAGCCCCACACCCAACCTTACTTCTTTAACGAGCTAATAAACTAGACGACGTATAGGAGCGCATCTTTGGGGAATCGAACCCTGACCCCCCACCACTGAACTACTGACGCGAACAATTTCATGTAAACACTACTTTTACTCGGGATAGTCTACGCAAAGAATAAACTAACCACCTGGTGAAAATAGAATGAAAATTAAAATAATAATCGTGATGAAGACAACATTTTTTTTAAAAACAGACACTTACTAGTGCTGTTGACAGTATCCGTATTATTAGTATCAGGTTGATTATGTGAAGTAGATAAAGAGCTCAAGTAAACATTAACACGATCTTGAAATTTTCCAATTAATGCTGCATACTTTGTAGCACGTTGTAGTGCTGTTTCAAAACTTTGATCTTTACAACAATTGACTAAATCGTATTTAGGATTTTCTGTATTTCTATCTGTACTAACAACAGTATCAATTAGTGAATCTAAAGAATCAGGTTTATTTTTCAATGACTCCATTTTCACCGGTAATGACGGAGTTGATAAATCTGATCTGCGTAATTTGTTTAAAATATTCAGTTCATCTAATTATTCAATAGGTAAAGAAAAAATTAAAAAACGTGAATTGAAAACTATATGTGAATTTGCCAATTACCAGACAAATAAATTTGGAAACGCAACTTCGAATTATTTCTCTAATGTAATAATGCAGCAGGAGGAACCATAAAATTATAAGACAGAGAATCATTAAGTACAATAACTGATCGCAAACAGAGCTTCTTTACGACAAGGATATGAGAGCCACACAAGCTTTGTGAGTGCCTAGTTGACAAGACTAAAGTAAGTGGAAAGGGGAAATCTAAACCCGAATCTATTGACTGTAACTTTCAAGTACTTAGACCGATAAGCCATATATCATCACTTAGCTTGAACTATAAACAATGCAAACACATCATATTTAATAATGTGACGTTTGTACATAGAAAATCAATATTTTTCATACGGTATGTCATATTTATAAAGTGCAATATTAACTAGATGGTTTTATATTAGCCAGGTGACTAACTGAATGGTTTCTACGTAGAACTTTGCAAAGATGTGGAGAAGTTCGAGTTGCCACACTTCACTCAGCACACAAGGAGAGAGAAGATAATAAATCGAAATATGAGAGATAAAAAATAATAACATAGAAGAACAATAGAATTTTATTCGATATTAAAAATCACAAGAAGTGGACGCATTTGCGACTTTGAGCCATATCACCAATTGTATCCAGCCACTGGTTTTTACCATCCCAAAGACCACAACCAGTCAGGAAGTCTACACCTTCCTGCTTGGCTTAAACTAAGTGTAGTGGACTTCATTGACTGATGACATGTTTTAGTTTGATCAGCACTAGCTAACTCTTTTCCAACCTGATCCTATATCAGCTAACATTGCACGTCGAGTAAGGTGATGCCAAGACATACGTAACACATGTCCTAACCATCTCAATCGGTGTAACTTCACAACCTCCTCGATTGATTTCCCCTGCTTACCTAGCACTTGACCGAAGCGTAACCTGAGTATTACTCCCCTTATTATATAACCTGAAAGGGGAGATAGAACGCATACACCTATGATCAAAGACAGCTAGCCAACCTTCTGTCTTCCAATTCCAATGGCCATGTTTCACAGCCACAAAGGAGGACAGAGTGGACTGCTGAGCAGTACACACGCTGTTTGGTCGATAGCCAGATATCACGTCTACGCCAGAGATAAGCCAGGTGCCAAGCTATGGCGCTGATACAGGACACCAATTCAACATAGTCGAATCTTTTAGAGTGTTGAACAGACAAAGTACTTCAAGACTACTTCGAATTGCTGAAGGTGTGACCATTCGGAGAATGAAACTTCAATTGTGAGTGCAGAAAGACACTGTTACTAACTTATTACTACCCTAGCAAGCACTGACTCCTTTACACTTCAACTTGTTGAAACTTTATTTTATATTATGAGATAATCTGTAACTACCTACTTTTGGGTGTTATATTCTACTGTGGTATATTTCCAGATATTTCAAGTGCACAATTTGGCTTCTGTCGGGTAAAAACGTTTGAAATAACTATTATAGGATGGATAGAACTTGAAAAGGGTGTGCAATTATAGGATTAGTAGACAAATCAAATAAAAAAGGAGGACCAATGGAACTCTGAAGAGATCGATTTATCGAAAGCTGTCATGGAATGGTCAACTGACAAATTTCTACAGCTAGGTACCCATTGGTCGAAAACGAAACCTGGTCCGATCGCTTGCCACTCGCATTCGGCGCATATGTAGCCCTGATACTGTGGAAGATGAGTTATATCTTTCGAGGAAAATTCTAATAGAAAATGGATTTCCACCACATTTTATGGATTAGAATATACATTCAAATCCTATAAAACGTGACTTATCATCCATACCCAAGAAAATACTTTACATGAGCTTGGAATTCAAAGGGGACTTAGCTTCCGATATCATGAAACGAAGGATATCACAGTCCCTGAAAAGAACATTCCCTGCTGCATCTCTGCGAATAGCCTTTACTAGTCGACCATTACTGTTCGATAATCTGAAGGACAAGATCCCGCTGTTGACCAACTCTATGTGTGTTTATCATTTCACCTGCTCTTGTGGAGCTAGGTATATCGGTCGTTCGACTCGAGTTTTGTCCAAGAGGGTGCAAGAACACTATCCGGAATGGTTACGAAGAGATGGTGGAGCAATAAGAAGCGCGATCATTGAACATCTGGTCGATAATGATCACCCTATCTCTATAGCCTCCGCCTTTAAAGTCATCTAAAAGGCAAAGAGTAATTTACCCAAATCCCTACGTACCCGACTTATCTGTATTGCTGAAGCTTTGGCTATCGAAACAGAAAAGCCAGAACTCTGTGTACAGAAAAAGTTCGTTCAACCCCTCCAACTTTCATGGTCTTAATACCTCTACTTTAAATTATGGTAATCCCCAATCATATTTTGGCGCTATCAATTTTTCATTTTTTTCATTTCAATTTTGTATACTCTTCCTTATTACGTCAATTGTTACTATTACTACTCTCACTTTTAATTGTCCCCGGTATTATTTCACTTGTTCCACTTGTCATTCTGAATCAATTCTTTTTTTACAACGTTAAATTCTTTACTATCAAATTTCACACAATATTACATAACTATTATACTCAGATTTATGTGCAACCAGTCAAACCCTATGAGTATACTAGATGTCTCTCGACTATTTGACAGAAATAAAGGCACTAAAATGTAAAAACGGAGTCCTAATGATGTTTCCTGTTGGTTTTATCGGTAATGTGCGTGAATGTTGATGAGGTATTTTCCTCAAAACGCAAAAATGTATTGATCAGTTGTGAAGATTTTCTGGCTTCTTACAAAAGGATCGCCCCAGTTATACTGCACACTAACTGCATACTTGACTGATAGAATTCAGTCTGCATCAAACAAAATGACGTAAATAAGTTACCTAGTGTTCAATCAAAAACGGATTGATATCAGTTAGAGAACCATTGAAAACCAGGGAGTACTGAACAGCTGCTGTTTCATCCTAGTTTGGGAATCATCGGCAGTACGCACCCACTGAGATTCGAACCCAGGACCCTCCGGTTACAAGGCAAGCTGGCTCGTATACCATTCAGCTACCGGGAACCGATTTAAGGGCTCATGAATACTAACTTCTACTAATTCGTGACTTAGCGCTGAATAATATACGAGCTTGCCTTGTAACCGGAAGGTCCTGGGTTCGAACCCTGGCAGTGGGTGCGTACTGCCGATGATTCCCAAACTAGGATGAAACAGCAGCTGTCCAGTACTCTAATGCTGGTTTTCAATGGTTCTCTAACTGATATCAATCCGTAATCAACTCGTAAAAACAAAACTAAGCCTTACAAACCAAACTATAAATACGTGTATTGTAAATTAAAACAAATAGGAAAAATTTACAAAAATACACAGCATACACCTACCTTGTAACGATTTAATGATTTGGGCAGAATGACTGAAAAGTCGGATACTTTCATGTATTTCATCATCGGAAATCGGTCCATTGTGTGAACCTTCAACAACTGTGGAAATAAATCAATATGAAAATTAGTAAACAACAGGCTGTTTTCGAAAGAAAGTTATAAAAAGAAATCTGGCTTTTAACCAAGACGGTATTCTTGATTGTTTGCGTGTGTGTGTGCGAGTGAATTTATCACTATTCCCTGTGCTAACTTCTGATAGCAAACAGGCAAATGATCAAGTTAAAGAATAACGATCTAGAAGTGCGGACGCATCAATGACCTTGGACGCAAACCGTTTACTGGGTAACGGGACCCGCCATTATTATACAGCCACTATGACCGCTACGCACGAACCGCCACTGAGGTGCGAATTTCATCCCAAAACCTCATTTTAAGAACTGTGTGGGTAACGGGTTGATAACTCTCATTCGAGTCACAATCACGGTTAGCGATTAGGAGTACTAAGGTTTGCATGGAGATTACAACCACTGTCAGGGTTAAGGTGTTTTATTTGTATTATCCGTATTTTTCTAGTAAATAGATTTCGACTGCCCATAATTGCTATCTGCACTGATCTAGTAAATAAACTGTATTTTTATGTAAAAAGAAAAGAAAAACAACACCGGTTATCGTGATTGGTCGCCGCCTCAAGGTCAATCGTGCGCGTTTGCATGACTTGGATAGATAGCTATTGTGTTCAGCTCTGCCAAAAAACCACACACACAGAAAAACAAACTACTATCCAGTGACAAAATTAACTAACGAAGTAAGCGAACAACACATAACACATAACTTTAAAAAAGTCTATAACTGGTTAAGCTAACAAAACATCACGAGTTGATTAGTGTTTTCAATAATGGGATTTACAAAATGCTTGTACAAACACTTTTTTTTTATTCATTTCTCTCACGGAACACATCACACGTTCGTTCAGATGAAGTGACACTCATTGGACAATTGTAAGTAAACTTTAAAAGCAAGTCAACAAGAGGAGGAAGAGTTTCAACTAAGGTTGTTGTTGTTGTAGGTGAAGTTAGTCTAGACATCATATTTCTGCCTACATGTCACCAACTGATAACATTTGCTAAGTGATGATAATACAAAATAAGTGTGAACAACAAGAATTATGGTGTAAAATATATCAATAGCCCATGAACTACACAGACTTTAATTTGACAAGTTCATCACGTCCCATTTAGACATTTAGAAAGCAGAAAGATTGAGCGAAGAAATATTTACTTTTCAATTAGATCCTTATCTCTGGCTCTACTCTAATATACATAGCATTTTCATTACAATACACAACAGTTTACCAATCAGGTGGCGATATTAACGAAGATAATTAATGAAGAAAATCCAACAGGTCAGTACACTCATTTTCCGAGTTTTGTACCTTTGAAATATAAACGTGACCTGGTATAGTGTCTGGTTCATAGAGCTAGGTTAATCCGTTCAGACGACTGCCTCAATGAGGAGCTTAAGATTATTAGAGAATTACTTAGAAAAATGGTTATCCAGATAAATTCATTGAGAAAAATATGAATTCAGCACCTAGGAGAGTCAGCATGGCAATAGTTTCCAAAAAAACAATGTTCATGAAATTGCAGTTCCTCGGTGACTTCTTTCTTTCTTTACTTCGGCTATCTCCTACGAGAGGATGAGCCGGCTTCATGAACATCTCGAATCATCGCTGCCCAGGCGCGGCGATCTGACGCAAGGTTTTGCAACAGGGTTATCCAATTCTTGTTCCACAAACGGAGTCCGTAGACGGTTTGTAGCCCCAGGCACTCCATATCAGCCTTGACTGTACCAAGCCATGTTTTCAGCTGTCCACCCCTGCGACATCGCCAAGACCACTGGTAAACTTGAAATCACGATTCGCTTTTTCGCCCCATGAACCGTGTGAATTTCGCTTTGCATCGAACGAATTATCCCTCAAGTTAGGATGCACAAACACTTCATCTTCAACAACACGACGAAAAGGTGTACTACCTGCTCTAAATTTTCTAGCACTGTCAGGAGTAACAGATGTTAAAGATGTATCACTGGGATTAAAAGATGTATCACTAGCAATATTCGCCGAACCATTCAATTTATCAGAATCCTTCACATAGGAATAAGCACGCTTACGACCATTCACACCACCACTGCAAAACGAAACAGAGGCCACAGAAGAATTCATAGCACCAGGAGACACAAACGACACCCGACGACCAGACGCAGCCAAATTCACACTAGAATCACACACACCAGAAATATACCAGAAATATCCTCGGTGACAACATCAACGAAATGATAACACAGCGCCTGAAGAATGCAGTTAGAAGAGCTTATTATGCAGCAGAGGTACATTATCTCTTCACAACCACCCCTATTTTACGTTCAAGAAATAAGGATAAACCACCTAAATTTGCCTCTTCTATGTGCATCTACCAGTTTGACTGCAGCTGCGGAGCCAGCTACATTGGGAGTACAATTAGGCAGGCTCATCATCCTATTTTCGAACATCATCCTGCAGCATGGTTAAGCAAGGGACAAGATCTATTCGCAGCTGTATTTTAGCACACCTTGTTTATACTGAGCATAAGGTTGATGTTAATACTGCATTTAAAATTATTTATTGCATTCCGACTAATCTTAATTTTGCTTTACGAGTTCGTCTTCTACAGACAGCTGAAGCAATAGGAATCCACCTGAAGAACAAGCCAAACCTGTGTGTTCAGAAGAAATTTGTACAGCCACTTTCCTTACTTTGGCCATCGTTACATGAATGTATAAACAGGACTACGTCGCCCCCCTCCCCCCTAAACCTTTAAAAACTATAAAAATTATAATTGTTAAAATTATTTTATTTTACTTTTATTTATTTTGACCACTTCATCTTTAATTACGTGTTATCCTTGTAAAATTAATTTATTCTAACCATTTCTACCTTTTAAATGTGTATTGATTTTCTTCGTTAATTATCAACCCATTGACATTTTGACACTGACTAATTATTGTTAACAAACATATTGTTACTTGATTGGTAAATGGTTGTGTATTGTAATCAACATGCTATATATATTAGAATAGAGCCAGAGAAGAGGATCTAATTGAAGAGTAAATATTCCTTCGCTCAATCTTTCTGTTTCCTTAATATATATATATAAATGAACACATTAGTTACCTTCACTTTCGCAGAAGCTATCAGCTTCCAATACTTCTGGTTGATCAATGTTATCCACAGCACCAAGTCGTTGGTTAGCATCATTATTTAATTTGTCTGAAAATAAAAAAGGGTTAAATGCGTGAATTAGAAAACTAAGCTAAATGGAGTCTGAAATTACGGACACTAGAGGTTGGGTATTTCCAGATAAATGGTGTATACCGTGTAATATATGATAAATGACAACCGACATGATACCAGGTAATCATAATTCTATGCAAAGAGTAGTTCGGCTAGAAGTCGATCAATACGGAAGGGACTTTTCTCAAAGACAATACGCCACACTTTCCTCCAAGTGATGACTGATTTGTTATAAAATACACACGTGTCCTAGAGAATCGACAAGAAAGTGTATTTATTTAGGACAGCTGGCTTGAAAATGTTGAAAAGTGTGTACCACGATCAGGTAGTAAACTATAATTGTCTAACAATATGAGTCGTTCTAAGTGTATTATGTCAATTTTCGACAAAGCTTCAGACAGAGGAGGTAGTCTACTTCCTCTCCTTTAAGCCCTCTGCTGAATCGGTATCCCAGTCGAGTAAACAACATCTTAGAATGCGTATGCCATGAAAACCGACATCCCACACCAGGAATCCTGTTAACGCCCCCGTAGTGGCTGGTGTTATTTCTGGTCCATCTCAGTATATCATAACAACTCTCACGAAAAGGCCTATAAATGCACAGTTATCTTGCCGGTCATATACACAGCCATTACCCTCGGGGATGGGACAATTCCTGCAACAGGGCGGATATAAGATTTTGAATGCCGAGAATACTCTGCGGTGACTCCCTCACCGCAGTCCCACTTGATGGTCCTTGAACACTGGTCCATATCCGAGCCACCTGTAACCCGAATGCTCTCAGCTATAAAGGCAACGGCCATATACTTCCTCTTGAAATGAAGACACAAAAGTGGTTAGGTGGTATTCAGAGGTTGGATACTCGGACCGCGGGCAGTTACACATACGGCTGTGTGGCTTCCACTAAGTCGTGGATGACATCCTGACACTTGTGTGCCAGAGCAAATGGAGGTCGCGTCACCAACCTGAGCTACATGACCTCACTGGACAGTGTTTAAAAGATCACGACCAAATTACAAGCCACACTCTATTCGCTCGTAGTTAATAAGAAATGCAACCTATAACTGACCGCAATCCGACGAAACCTTAAAGGCTATTGTCGACAGTAATACACCCACAGGTCAACCAGGAGATTCGAATCGAGCTCCCGTACAGTTTTTAACAAAGGGATGCGAAACTCCACTCAGCAGATTTCTTCCTTGGTTTTTACGGTCGGGCTACCAATCACACCAAAACCCTGATTAGGCCCCCAAGGTGCCGAAACACCTCAATCAAAGTAGCGGCGCGGATGGTATTCCCCGACAATGAGAAACAGCTTACTCTAACCCTAACAGAAATACACCAAGGGCTCTTTACTATAGATCCTCCCCAGAGGGAGCCACGTGGTATCTGTCGACGTAACTAGACTAGGGTCAGACACTCGGCGGTTACTCAGAGATGCAACGAGGCATTCGGCCACCTTTGAGAGTCATAGCTACTCTGTAACTTAACTACTTGAGACCAATATGATCATTATCTTATACAATCAAATCCATTAGTGGGATCAAAAGTAATAAGCGATAACTGAAATCTGTTGGTCCTCTAAACAAAGCCCAGACGTCATTACTCATCAATAATCGAAAAACCGACAGCCTTTTGAGAGGGATGATATTCACGATGTGAAATAGGCAAGCAAACAACAGGGGAATGATTTTTTTAAACAAAAATAATTGCCCGAAGGCTACTTAAAAATAACTTAAACATTAATACTTACCATCATGATTATCAATAACCTTTGAAATGCCATTATCCAAGCCATTAACGAGGACATTCTCATCTGAAACATAATATAAATAATCAGGTAAAGCTATAGGACGGTGGCTAAGTAGATACTAGCATTATTATTATTATTGTTTCATTGCATTCCAAGTGGAGCATAGAGCTTCAACAGCACAATTCCAGTTTTTCCCTGTTCCCTGCAGTCCTCTTCAGTTGTCCCCATGATTGCCTACGGGCTCTCGTCTCCTCGCAAGATCTCATCCATAACCCCCTACGGACGCCCAACTCGTCGTTTCCCGTCCAGGTGCAGCATAGCTTCTTCACTAAGAGTGCTAAATTTTTAGCGCCGACACCATTAACTTCCTTACTTCATCGAAAGCTAACAGCGCTAATAAATAGATACACACCAATGACGAATAAAAACCTATTACTGCCATTGTTAGAAGTCACTTACAGATGTAAGGATAAGAAGGACTGCTATGCAGTCAAAACCTGCTTTTCGACTAAATTTCTACCTATATATAACAAACAGAGCTATTGTTGCATTTGTAATCAGATGTGAAATTATTCCCTCGGTAACATGAACAAATCTAGACTTTTTAAAACTGGGGAAGTGGCACATGGTAAACAAAATTTTGATGTGAAAAAACCAAATTCATCATTCTACATTTTAAAAAGCGCAAATGATAAATCAGATTAGGTGTGAAAAAGAAATAAAAACAATTTTATGGTCGGGCTTACATATTGCAAGGATTCAACGAACTCAACTGGTTGAGACGAATCTTCCTGAAGGCTCTACACTACGCCAGAAAAGTTGTCCGGATAGCAGTCAGTCTAAAAGCAGTTGTCATCATAATGTAATTCACTCACACTATGTTGCGAGTCTGAGGACGAAATCGTACTACTGGAAAATAGAGATGTAACTAACACCACGAAACAGTTTCCAACAGACGGCCAGCAAGCAAGCTAAGCTTACTCTTCGTTAATGCGGAGGGAGGAGTTAGAGAGGATTAATGTCGGAAATTGTACGGGCACACATTGAGTGCGTGTGTGTAACCTGCCTTAAAACTCTTGTCCTCGAGGCTCTGAGCTCACATAGCACTAATCCTCCTTCTCTTTCCGATATTTCCACAAGAAATCAAATTCCACAGTGTAGATGACAGGTAGCTAATAACCATACACACACACATACATACACTGCAATAAGCACACACGGCTTTTCCTGATCATCACCCACCTTCATTTACCTCCATAATAACTTATGAACAGATATTTTACATCTAAAATATTTTTACGAGTTGATCACGGATTGACATCAGTTAGAGAACCATTGAAAACCAGGAAGTACTGGACAGCTGCTGTTTCATCCTAGTTTGGGAATCATCGACAGTACGCACCCACTGAGATTCGAACCCACGACCTTCCGGTTACAAGGCAAGCTAGCTCGTATACTATTCAGGCACTGGGACCCGATTCAATGGCTCATGAATTCTAACTTCTACCAATTCGTGAGAGAAGTCATGACCAGTGAGGTCCAATTAGATGTCACGTATGTGGATGGATATCCCACCAACGACAATAGTTGGAGTCGCGCTAAATCACGAATTGGTAGAAGTTAGAATGCATGAGCCATTGAATCGGGTCCCAGTATCGGCTGAATGGTATACGAGCTAGCTTGCCTTGTAAACGGAAGGTCCTCGGTTTGAATCCCAGTGGGTGCGTACTGTCGATGATTCCCAAACTAGGATGAAACAGTAGCTGTCCAGTACTCCCTGGTTTTCAATGGTTCTCTAACTGATATCAGTCCGTGATCAACTCGTGAAAACATAACTAACCCTTACAAACCAAACTATAGAAAATCTAAAATATTCCTATTTAGCATAATACTCAAATGTGTGTCTAAATTTACAATTTAGGCGAAAATAATAATAATAATAATGACGATAACTGAACAGTGCAAGTACGTAAACAGGTTCAACCACATTGATTAAATGTTTGAGAACAAATAGAAAATGGTTAAAATATAACTGAAAACCCTTACCATCATCATTATTAGTATCCTTCAAAGCATCACCATCATAATTTCTCCGTATGTCGTTACATACTTTTTGCATATTATCCTTTGATTCTGATTTCTCTACTTTGTCCTCCTGTATATTGATTGAAAACCAAAAGAATAAATAAGTTGTAATACAAATAAACTTGATGAGTAAGAGCAAACGAAGAATTTTTTTATTAATTGGAAGTTAGTAATCGGTGTTTGGCATTCCACTTGTCGCAACCAGTGGGGGTCTCACCTACATGTTAGTGAGTCCTACTCATGCAGATGTTTGGTTTAAGATATGTATCACTCACACACACGCACACAGACAAAAAGTTATCAAAACACCTACAAACATACATCAGGTATTTAAAAGGGAAAATACCTGAAGAGATAAGTTTGCGCTGGCATATTACACACACATAGCATGAAAAATCTCAAGAAACATTTTCAGGCAATATTCTTTTTATTTTTAATGCTACAGTAAATTTTGTTTGAACAATCGTAATTCAAACTCAGGTTTGAAGTTCCAGTAGTAGTATATCACGGCATAGACGTGACATCCAGCTATCGATCAAAGGTGTGTACTGCTCGACAGTTCGCTGCATCCTCCTTTATCGCTGTGAAACATGGTCATTGAAAGTAGAAGACACGAAATGGCTAGCTGTCTGTGATCATAAGTGTCTGTGTCCTATATCTCTCATGTTAAGTGGTGTAACACGATGAGTAATATTGAGGTTAGGTGTAGAGAGTTAGGTAAGGAGGGGACGTCAATCGATAAGGTTGTAAAGCAACGTAGATTGGAATGCCTGGGACATATGTTACCTATGCCGAGCCACTGCCATCATTGAAGAGTAATATTAACTGTCATAGGTTAGACAGGTTAGAAAAAAGGTTACGGGTAGTCGAATGAATTCCCGACATCAGCCATAAATAAACTTTAAACATAGAAAAACCATTAATACATGATAACTGTCTTACACACACACATACACATCCTATTCAAATTTAAGACTTGGTTATGTCATCATACTTCAATCAACTATAACTGGATAGTAAAAATGTGAAAACATGACGACTAAGTGGATCTGAAAGATTACAATGAGTGAATACATTTGTTTAATTTTTAAGAATGACTTTGAGCTATATCACACTAACCTGATAATCAGTCTACACCTCCCCCCTCTACGTGACTCAAAATCAACGATCACAGATTTTAAACAGCATGACTCGTTTTTTTTCAGAGGGATTAAAGCAATATTATTTTTAACTGATTACAAAAATAGAGATGAGTCATGAAATGCAGCTTATTTATTTGTGGGGTCGTTTTTTTTTATTAAAAATTAACGTGACTAGTTTGCTATTATATATATATATATATATATATATATATATATATATATATATATATATATATATAGACGCTAATGGAAGTATCCTTAACTGAAATTAACGGTTTAGGAATCGACTTGTTACCAGGGTATAGTCTTATGGACTTGGAATATGCAGCTGACATAGTCCTGTTAGGGGAGGATGCTGACAAAATGCAGAGTCTTCTGAACACCTTGAGCAGCAATCTTCGTATGTTTGGCATGCCATTCGCCCTTGTAAAATTTAAGATGCTGCTACAGGACTGGACAATGTTTACCCCTAGCTTAGTGATAGGGAGTGAAGTGATAGAACCTGTTGACCACTTCACCTATTTGGAAAATTGTATCAGCACCAACGGATTGAATGGTGACGAAATCTCAGCACGGATCCAAAAAGCTCGGGCTGCTTTCGCTAACTTACACCATCTCTGGCGTAGGCGTGACATCCGGCTATCAACCAAGGGACGTGTATACTGCTCATCAGTTCGCTCCGTCCTCCTCTATGTCTCTGAAACATAGCCAATACGAGTTGAAGACATGAAAAGGTTGACTGTTTTTGATCATAGATGTCTACGATCTCTTTCTCACGTTAGGTGGTATAATTAGGTAAGTAATGTTGACGTTAGGCATAGAGTGTTGGGCAAAGACGGAAAATCAATCGAAGAGGCTATAAAGTTACATAGATTGAGATGGCTAGGTCACGTGCTGCGCATGCCTAACCATCGTCTCCCCCGACGGGCATTACTAGCTGATATAGGTGCAGGTTGGAAAAGAGTAAGTGGTGGCCAAACAAAAGCATGGCTTCATCAATCCATGAAATCCTTGACAGTTAAACTGAGTCAGGTAGGGAGATGCAGACTTCCGGGTTGGGGCTCGCCCTCGGGACTCTAAGAATCAATGGCTTGAGACAATAGGTGACATGGCTAAAAGTCGTTGTCAATAGCTTATGCAGATGTATTCAGTCTCTTTAACCTTTCATATTCCTTTCTACCAATACTCTTTCTGTTTCACTCTTATACCTGTCAAAACTCTATTGATTCTCTTGACTCATTTTCTTGTCTACCTTTGTGTGCTATTTGGAACGTGGCAACTCGAACTGTTGCACTTCGTGCCAAGTTCTATGTTGAATCCAGACAGATATAGATAGACAATAGTATGACCTGTAGTCAGTCACTTTGAAAGATATGCGCTTTTTTTCATTCCAAATGTTACAAAACACAATGCCAAAAAAAAGGTAGTTAGCGAAGATAAATCTGTTTTAGCTACATGACGTCAATGTAACTGGATATTACTAGTCCGCTCATTTTTTTTCTAATTTCAGACTATAAAGCACAAATTCTTGTGTGCATGTGTGTGTGAAGGTTGATGATACCGTCTAATCACCCAGACTAAAGTAAGTGTGGCAGGATTTAAATCCACGACGCACATTGGGCAACAGAAAAAAGTGATAAACTTGAACTCATACCTTTTGGTAAGAATGAACCTGTATGTTAAATAGTGTCAGAGTTAGTATCAAATGATCAAATTAAGAATGGTTGGGGGAGAATATTACTCCTGCGATCTGATGGATTGAATTAGTAAATAACAGAAAAATATAGCGCAATTCAGTTTACTGGTTTATAGTTGCTTTCTATGCAAAAGCTATCCATCAGTTAGGCTTTGAGAATGAGAACGTACAGTACAGTCCCCTGAGTGAAAGAGAGGCGTGGGGTATTAGAAACCAGAATCAATTAGCATTTGTTCTAATAACTTACACACACACACACACAATTAATTAACTAAAGCTCACCGTTAATTGTTTCTCTGATCCTTGTTTTGTCAGTAACAAGCTTTGTCTTTCATTCGCTAAACTTTGATAGGCCTCTTGAATACTTTCATAGTTTTGACGAAGACGGATACACTCTTTTTGAGAGTCAATTAAAGAATGCTAAACAAAAATAAAGATATGAAGACAATTTTAATGAATAATTTGTGAATCGATAAAGAAATAATTCATTCACATTCAACAAATTATGACTATTTTTACTGTTTTGTAATAACGGCCAATGATGAATGAATACACACTTTCGAATGTAAAACAAGATGTGCACCTATTGGTTGAATCACGAGTTGATATGCAGTTAGAGGACTGGGGAGTACTGGACAGCTGTTTCATCATATTTTGAGATTATTCAAAGCGGTACGCACCTACCAAACTTCGAAACCAAGACCCTCCTCCGGTTACAAGGAAAGCTCGTCGACTATTCGGTCAATGGAACCCGATCCAATTTTTCTTTTCCTTCACGTTCCCCAGTGGAACATAGGGCTTCAAACTAGTGGCTTGAAGTTTCTGTAGCAGTGCTTATTTTACAGGATGGGGTTGCTAACCTCATGCCTAACCTTTCCTCTTTATCAGAATTATTTCTGGCTTAGCGAGGTAAAGGAGTTCGTCGGCCAGGGATCGAACCCCGGACCATGTGCATGGTCGGCGAGCGTCCTGACCGCCATACCACCGACCCGATCCAATGGGCCATTAAATTCCTAACTGCTGTCAATTTGCGATAAATAATTTAGCGCAACAACCAGGCAATGTCGCAGCCGAATAACTGTCCTCTTATCTAACTTGATCGACCACGTTTAATATTGTAGATTATTTGCATTCATCACAAAATGAACACTCAACGATTTTAATAATGTCTTCCAATTTTATAGGAATCCTCTCACTCTCATTAATCATGGAAAACAGATGTTTTAAAAATGAAACTTGACATTTACTAGACTACTATCTAAGACATTATTATATAATAGTGAACTGCAATAAAAAAAAACACTTGCACAAAAATGTTAACTAAAATCAATACAATATGTATTCATTTTACGGCCGTACAGGGTTGATAAGATAGGCGAGAAAAAGCAAATGGACGAAGAGTAACATAGGGAGGAAGAGATAAAGATATACAATATAGTGGCTAATCCTGATTGTGTAATCAGTCTGTATTTTCACTTATTTGGATTCTGTAATCAGAAGAAAAAACTCAATGATATAAAGAAGCGAAATAATTTATATAAATTTAAGTAAAGCCACAAGTATAAGATTTCGAATGAATGAAACCTTTACATAAAAATAAGGCATAGAGGATGCATCTACATTCATTATTATTTATTATTATTATTCCTTTGGGTTTCTAGTGAAACACAGGGCTTCAACAACACATTTCCAATCTGTTCTACTTTCTACTGTCCAGTCTTCAGCTGGGTCCACGATTGCCCATAATCTCTCATTTCCTCTTCCAACTCACACGATCTCCTCCATGTCACTCTCACCCGGACAACCCGCTCGTCGCTTCCCATTGGGGTTCCACTCGAGCCATGGTCTGGCGCCCCATGTCATTCGAAGGCCTCCTTAACGTATGTCCGATCCATTTCCATTTTCTCCTACATATTTGTTGAACAATCGGCTCTTCGTTAGTTTGTTCCCACCCAGAGTTTCTAGTGGCTAATTCTTTCTGGCTAACTGGCCATTTGATCTTCAGTATGGAGCTAGCGAAGGCAGCTGTTGACAAAAGGCTGTAAGTTGTTGGAAATCCTTTCGGTGAAACGCTGGCCAAGTTTCTCACCCGTATGGAAGAACTGACTGACTGACTTCACATTTGTGTTGAAAATTCAAATCTTGTTCTTAGTGCTGGCTGACTGATTGCAGAAGATTTCCAAACTGGTTTCAGGTTGATGAAGGTGTATCTTGCCTTTCCAATTCTGGCTGGCTAGCTTTGACATCATCATCCGTGCCGTCCGGCTGTCGGTGGTTGAAACCGTGTTTCCTAACCGGATAAATGAAGTAACGTCTGTCAAATCTCTTCCGTTGATGGAGATTGGTGCTAGTTGTTGCAGTTGGTAGTGGTTGATTATCTTCATCACCTCTGTCTTATCTATGTTTACCTGGAGTCCTGTCTTCGCTGTCTCTTCAGTCCGTTTGTTGGTTTTCGCCTGTAGTTCTTTGAATTTGTGTGGCATTAAACATAAATCATCCACGCGCGAAATCCAGATCTTCTAGAGTCGTGTTTTTGGTCTAATGTATTCCCGTCTTCTCGCTCCTTGTGCACAGTCTGACGCATAATCCAGTTCACCACAATTAAGAATGTCATCGGTAATAGGCAGTCCTGTCGTACTCCTTGTATTGCATATACATTACAGGAGCTCAGTCACACTACGTTTTGTAGTCATCCATTTCAACTGTCTTATGAGGCAGTAAATCATACAAGGGAACGGGTTATAAACCTTACAGAACTTATACGTTCTCAGGTTCAGTGTCATGTTAAAATATGCATCATGAATGCCCTTTAAATGTTAAAGATTCAAAAAAAGCAAAATGGATTTTCTAAGACTTATAACAATCAAAATATAAGGAAAATTATGAAGGCAAAAAGATTGTCCAAGATGCAAACGAAGTCAAAGAGTGAAACGTGATGGATACTATATTACATACGACAATTCTACAGTATGACGAGTGAAGGCGCGTCGATAATCCAACGGTAGAATCCTCGTCAACCATGCAGATCGTCTGGGTTCGACTCCCAGACGACCCACTCCGAAACCATGCGTAGTTCACTACCCTAATGGTAAACCCTAAAAAGGAGTAAGATTGGGTGTGAGACTAGTGACCGCACCCTGAAAAATGACCACTGCTACTGAAAATTCAAAGATCAAGCATGAAGCCTTATGTTGCACTCCGAACGTGAAGCAATGAAAGAATAAGAAGTCATTGTATTTATTTATGTACACACCTCAGTGTCGGCATGATCCTAAATAATGTGTCCACACTAAATACAACTTTTAAAACAGGACGATTAAAACAACCATCATACTGTACATTTTGATTCCCTGTAATCACACAGTAATGGCATTTATTTATTTAAGAAAAGTATAACTCTTGAAGGCAACAAATTGTAAACATACCTCAAGATTTGTTGCTTTGCTAAAGACTTCTGTTTTCTCATTCAATAGGCGTTCCAGCATCATTTTACTTGCCTGTTCAAGGTTGAACTTCTCTTCCAGGACTTGTACTAAGTGCGATTGTAACGAATTTTCTGGTAAATCCTTTGTAAATGATACAAATACAATGAATGTAACCCAAGTGTATACATATTGTTAAGCAACAAAAAAATCTACTAGAAACACAGAAACGATTTGCGCTGTTGCCACCTACCTGTTTTAATAAGGAAAGTTCAGTTTCATAAAGGCTTAACTTCTCCAAAAGTCGTTCTTGATTCACCATGGCCTAAATCATAGAATAACAGAATCTTTGTAACCTACTTGCCAACCAGCCTCAGAAACATCTTGTGTCTCTTGTAATAACTGTTTTATAGATTCTAGTTTATTGTCTAGAACCTGTTCACGAAACAAAGCCTCCTAAAAATAAATAAGTAAGGAATAAGTGGAAGAGCAAGAACATACGCCGATATAATGTGTAAGACGGAACATTTGCTCGCTATTGATAGTAATTGTACTAATACCAGTAGCAATATTATTGCTAATAGGCTCAACACTGTAAAGCAAATATGTATATATAATAATAATAAATAATTTATTTACCCTTTATTCGCTTCAACTCCATTCGGAAGGTATAAAGACACTTGTGCTATGATACAGCCATGAGTAGCTAAAGAATTAACACGTTAGCGAATATCGATGCATTACTGTCATGTTCAACGACATCAACACCGAAACGAATAATATCACGGGAAAATATTTCACGATCAGCATACTCTTCATCATTTCGCTTGACAATTCGTGTACTGTTGACAAAAGTGCCATTACTACTGTTTGTATCACGTAACCAAAACTTAAAAAAAGGAAAAATGAATTTAACAGAGTAATTGGAAACCTACGCGACCACCTCTGTACCAAATTAAAGCATGACTTCGTGACAGGACTTTGCAATCGAAAATAGCATTGTTTGATGCAGGTTTAACACGAGCAACAGACCGTCCAACTTTGAGTACTTCACTCAATATAATAGTGCGTTCCTGGAAAGGATGTGAATCCCGCTGACAAGTGAGGATCAGAACTGGCTGTCCTTCACGCTGACTAATGACGCTTCCTGACATTGAACGGGACACACAGAATCAATACATTTGCTAAAAAGCAAAAAAATAATAATAACGTTTTGTATTACGGAAGACAAAAACGAATGTAATAAATTGGCCTACGAAAGCATTAGAACACTAAATTATCAACTAAATCAAAAAGTTTAGGGGGTTTCAATAATCTACATAGAGTTAAGAATAAAAGCATCCTATCGAGAAACTCACAATCAACAACTCAGTTTCAGATTTTTTTCCTTCACGTTCCCCAGTGAAATATAGGGCTTCAAGTTAGAGCCTTGAAGTTTCTGTAGCAGTGCTTATTTTACAGGATGGGGTTGCTAGCCTCATGCCCAGCCCAACCTTTCCTCTTCACCAGCACTATTTCTGGCTTGGCGAGGTAAAGGAGTGCGTCGGTCGAGGGTCGAACCCCGGACCATGTGCATGGTCGGCGAGTGTCTTGACCGATATGCCACCGACGCACCAGTTTGAGATAATTGTCATTCCTTGTTGGTTACTCAAATTAGTTTTCGAAGCGATAATCTGTTTTTTTGCTTATTGTGATCTTCTAAACTAGCGAATCTCTCCTTGGTTACTTAAACAAACATATTCAGATGGAACCTTGTTAAAACAACAGTGAATCAGTTTAAAATGCCAAATTTCAAAATAACATACAAAGAAGTGCACATATGCTAAGGGGATACAGAATTAAACACCTTCGAAGTGTAACTCTCTCACACTATGTTCAGAGTCTGAGGGTGAAGTCGTACAGCTGAAAAAATGAGATGTAGCAGCACGAAACTGTTCCCAACAGACGAGCAGCAAGCTAGCTATGCTTACTCTCCATTAGGCACAGGGGGTTTAGAAAAGATCGACCCCAGAAATTGTACTTCCTAATTTCACTTCTTGTGGTCCGTAGTCAGTGGTAAGATTTTCATAGACGCAAATCAAAAAAATCACTAAAAGCACGTCGTGTATGTGACCTGCTTTAAGCACTTGTCCCCTAGGCAATGCTAATGCTTCTATTTCAGGTACTCGAAGAAATCAACTCGCACAGTATAGCCAGCCGGTAGCTAACAATCACCCGAAAACAACAATAAGCACACAAAGGTTTTCTGTTCATCATCCACCTTCACCTATCGCCATATGGACTTCTGTACAGATATTTTACATTCGAAGTACTCTTATTCTGGATAATACTTAATGTGTATCCAAATTTACAGTTTAGGCGAAAATTATAATGACAATAAGTGAACAATGCAGGTATATACACAGTTAAACCATATTTATTAAATGCTTATTTCCTTATTACAGCTGATACTACCCAAAACTATCAGTCATAGGCTTATGTAAGTAGTACAGATTTATTCTTCTTTTGACAGATCTATTAAATGTCACCAACGAATCTCTGTAGTTATTTATCAATGAATGCCAGAAAACAGTTCTATAGATTTTTAAACCGCTGATAAACTAGCTTAGTTAGGGACCTGAGTGACTGTTGAAAAATGATGACTAAATATACTGTTGATATACCTATGACATGTGAATTATTGAAGATAGAATTACAGCCATGGTTAGATAGTTTTAAGGGAAATGACAGGAATTTAACGTCTGACTGACTGACTGGTTTCAACATAGAACTTTGCATCGATGTGCAGAAGTTCGAGCCGCCACACTTGACTCAGTACACAAAGCCAGATAAGAAAGTAAAAAAATGCAAAATAGAGACAGTAAAGCGAGATATGAGGCAAAAAGAATAGTAATATCGAAGAACAATATAGTTTTATTGGGTATTATAAGTCACAAGGATGCTGGATGCATCTGCGCCAGCTATTGAGAACGATTTTCAGCCATATCACCGATTGTCTCCAGCCTTCATTGGTGTTTACCGCCCCGAGGACTCCAATCAGCCAGGAAGTCTACACCTTCCTATGTGGCTTAAACTAACTGTTGTGGATTTCATTCACTGATGAAGCCATGTTTTGGTTTGACCGCCGCTGGCTCTTTTCCAGCCTGACCCTACATCAGCTAACATTGCCCGTCGAAGAAGGCGATGGCTAGGCATACGTAACACATGTCCTAACCATCTCAGTCGATGTAACTTCACAGCCTCGTCTATTGATTTCCCCTCTTTACCTGACACGACGCCTAACCTCAATATTGCTCACCCTATTATACGAGCTTCCACTGTGTGGGCAACCGGGAAGTAACAACCGCCCACACACTTCCGAAAGCACACGAAGTCTTCCTGAGCATCATCTTCATCGTACTTTGCTACTACAATCGGTACTATTCTTCAGGCGAGTGCGTCATCTTCGTTCTGTGAATATAACGTCACCCAGTAATCAGATGGATTCGTCTGTTAGATCTTTTGCAGCATCTGCCACTAATAAGTAAGCGTACGCCCTGTGCTGTTGCTGCTGGATTCAACATAGAACTTGGCACCGAAGTGCAGCGTACGCCCTGTACATTAGAGTGCAGTTGGAAACTATGACCAAGTGACCGTGAATGTATCTACATCAATGGTATAATAGAAGTTACCGAAACTGATACCGTAACCAACAGATTTAAATGTAATAGGTTATTCAACAACCACATACAGGTTAATACACTTGGATATGAGGGATGATGCCACCAAATGACAGCCCAAACCTTAACAGGTAGGATGACTTTAAGCTTATGACTCTCTGGGTGAAATTCAAGCATCTATATCGATAAATTACAGAGCCACTACTAAGTGTCAACTGTGATTACTAATTTAATCATACCTTTCCCACAAAACCACGAAGATAATGATATTAACTTAATAGGAAAATCGGAAACGCACACGCTACAATACACAGCGAGGTCGCGAGAATGAATACTATAAACCTTTTTTTACAATCTCACTGTTAATTTAAATTCTACCCCAATCAAAATGTAGTCATCCTGATTGCCAAATATCAAAATAGGGAGCTGAAAGGTCCGTTAGAACACTGAATAGTGACAATAGAATTTTATCTGTATCTTTTACACAGGGAATATACCTGAGTCATGAGTTCTACATAACTATCTCCAGATGACTTCAACTCGGATATAAGATATTGTTTCAGATTGGGCGTAAATACATCCAAGCTCTATCTTTTTCTTTATTTGCTTCATTTATCTTATTATAAAACTATTATCTTTATTAGCTTGTCTCCTCTCTTACCACATTAACTTTTTCTGTGGAAAGTTTGGTCTATTACTTCCTATACCAACAACTCTTTCTTATACAATTAAGCAGTGATGCCCAGTCAAAAGTTCTGTATCGTTATTTTAAAAATTTAGAATAATGATGTCATTCGCAACCATCCTTAACTGACTACAACGGCAGTTGCTAGCTCATATAACTTGCAAAACACTATCTCTGCATTAAGGAGTGTACGCAGTTGATGACGATCAGACATCATAGCTTAAGTAACATATTCAGCAAACAAAAACAGAACTGTTTGCATTCTGAATACTAAAACTTTACAACCCAGCTGCTCAAATTTGTGCTATTCTTGCATCACAGCAACACATGATAGACAAAAACAGAAAAACTACTTGGTTGGGGTAGTCTGGACGCTAACAGCCTATGACTGGACACTATTGGAGGCATAGCTCCAAATCATTCTCAGTGGCGCAGATGCATTCACTCTTTGTAATCTCCCATATCCAGTAAACTCTAATCATTTTTTCATGCTGGTATATTCTTCACAAATTTCTGACGATTGTAGCACATTGAATCTCTTTTCCTTACCCGTCTACTTTAGTGTGCTACATGGAATGTGGCAACTTGAACTGCAGCACTTCTGTGCCAAGGTTTATGTTAAAATCAAATTAGACAAGTGGTTAGAATGAAAGGTGAGAGCAAGACATAAAACACAATTTCGTAAAAATGCATAGCTTGATAGATGTCAAATAACTTATTGGGAGCCTGTACATTATGGTGTAGCGGGATTATCATCTGTATACTGGAGATCAAAATTTTTTCCCGAGTAGTGAATTCCCATCATATCCTACGTCGCGCAAACTCAAGAATTCTCTTGTAAATCAATATTATTAAACACAAGATAACGAGCTACTTATTACTTGAAGACAGTTACAACCGTAGCTGTGAAAACTATCCCTAAGACATGGTAAAGCAGCAGTACCTGATGGGATAACTCCAGAGCTGTTCAAGACTGATAATAATTGACTAGCTAGTGTTTAGAAGTAGTCCCAACAGACTGGTCTAGACTGTCAATCGTCTCACTTTTTGAGAAGGGAAACAAATTCCGTAATGAGTACAGGTGAGTCAACTAAACTAAAAGACCATACTTTCCAAATGGGGTTCAATTTCTCATAGTTCATTTGGTAAAAGACAACAATATAGTCGCTATTCTAAACAATTGAGTAGTGTGAAGTGGTTTGTGTGCATACAACAACACTGAGAACCACATAATGCTTGTTTTTACTGGAGAGGGACGGCCATCAGCTGAGTTCCGTTTACTTCAGGATACGTTTGAAAACTCAAGTCTATAGAGCTTCTCAGGAGCTTTGTTCAAAACAATAAGAATGTAGACAGTAACGACGACAGGTTGTCAATGCCTAGTAGTAGACCGAAAAGCTAAGTACCATTTTCTGTGTCTTACATATTTTTCAGGGATGCAGAGAATACCGAAAAAGATTTTTTTAACAACTCAATGGATAGTGATATAGCTGCCAGAGAAGTTGGTTGCATCAAACCACAATATCCTGTTTTCAGTGTATTATGTGACTTCGTCTCCGCCACCCCCCAATTCCAAGGTACCAATTTAGTCATTCATTAAAAGTATTCCAAATGCCCCGAACTTCCATTCTCCCCCTCCTACTGGCAAAAGAAAGATAACTGTATCTAACCAGTAGGAACAATTGCGTATACTTGCTTCAAATTGTCCTCTAACGAAGATGTCAATGAGTTGTTGACTTTTAATAGGAAAGCGCTCGGTAAATACTAACAAATACTTATATATTTGAAGAATCGTCAATGGAAACCACCAATGTGTACGAAAACACCAAACATTGTCAGTATTAATAGCAAATCCCGATGACAAACCAACCCTCTAACTAAAGATGACCACACGGTGAAGTTTCCGATTGAGAATGAAGATCACTTAGAGTTGCTGTAGGCATCGTTAAAAGACGATATATATAAGGGGACGTTTGTGAGTTCGTCCATCTAATTATCACTCTTTCTAGACAGCTAAAATGACTAACTGCCTTCAGGGTGACCTAAAATTGTCATTGAAAGTTATGATGCACACTCTCCTCAAACCTGAAGTGGGCTTGAAGTTTACATTTCAGGGGACAACAAGTAAGTCTACCATCGTGCCCTATGCTTTCTATAAAATCATGAGATGTACGGTTGATTTATGAAGTATTCGTCTCTATAGCTGTAATTATGGCGTTCTCTGGCCAACTGATGTCTATGAGAGGTTGGAGACATAATGGACAAAGCCGCGAATCTTATTTTCATAATCTAAAAGATAGCATTCAGAGGCGGGTGCAGAAGAAAGGAAGTCAGATGACAGTGCAAAACACACAGACTTCCTCTTAAAAGTTATGTTTTAAACAACACGTAATTACAACATTAGGTCTTCTTTCTAGACATATTAAAAAAACTTGGGAGGAAACAGCGGCACCTAGGTGAGTAAACATTTCTAAATGTAAGTGCTGAAAATGTAATGACCAAACGTACTTCTCAACTAATTTCAGATTTCGCTTATTTGAAGGATGCTACCGCTGGATTCTACTCGACGAATTTACAGTAGTATTGTACTATAATACAGTAAAATATTCCGAATAAAAATGATTTATCTCTGCAAACCCAACGAACTTCACAAACTGAAGACGTTGTAAATGGCAATTGGAAGCTGTGTTTCTATGATGCAGTAAATATGTAGGTTTCTTTGGAAAAGGACTAAAAAGATTGCTGAACTAATGTTCGTGAATTGCACCAGAATATGTATAGGCAATGACAATGCTAGTCAGTGCTAAAGCAGGGCTAAAATAGCGCTGATAAAATGCCAGCAGGTGCTGACCTAATTCAGTTCTGAAATGGTGCCGGTCACTGTTGAATCAGGGCGATGAGAGTTGAAATAACGCTGATAAACAAACTCTGTAGGTTCTGAGCTACTTCTGAAAATGCCGAGAAAACCATAGGGTGACGAATTAGTGCCAGTCATGCTAAAAATCAGCCCTAAGTTCTAGTTTGTGAAGAAAATTACATTTTCAATGCTCACTCACCTAAGAAAGGTAGTTCGGAATTTGCCTGATCTACTTCAGCATATTTGTAAGCTTCAGACTGATCCAACTGGGAAAAGATATTTGGGAAAACCAGACAAGAGTTCACTTATATCCTCGCCTGTTGACAGCTCCTGGGAGATAAATATCTAATGTCCTATCTATAAACCAATGTAGACAAAACAGATTTCTTTGGGCTCGCTTCTTACATACCTATCAACACCCAATCCTAGCCATATTCCACAAGACGGCGAAGTTGATGCTAATCGTTAACTACTCGAACCTACAGAGTCGCGGAAGATCTAATGAAGATTATCTGAAGCGACGGATATAAGTAGGCACTGTTGTAGATGCCCAATTTCACTAACATTTCGTGTAGGCATACCTCAAACCAAACAGCGACCGGTAAATTGAGTATGCTGTGTAAAAGCTGCCCGTACAATTAATATTGGAAATTGTTGGTATGCATTAATAAAAGCATGTTAACGACGTAATATTACTCTTAGGAAGCTAGTGCACTGTTGACTTAGTATCAGATAGTAGAAGGCACGAAAACACAGAAAGTAATATTTAAAACACAAATACATTAACACAGCTTATTTAACGCATCTAACATATTTCCCTGAAAAATTTTGCAAAAAATAACACTTACCGATCACACAAACGAAAGCATATCAAATAGCGCTCCGAAATACCTTTAGGTGAACAGTAGTGAAACTAACAAAAGAGAGTAACTTTCGAATTTCCAGAACTTCACTTTAATTTTATAAGACAGTAATTTTCGAAATTTTTTGGGTATCCTCAAAAAGGAATACTGCTATATGTATCAAAAGACAGATGGTAGGGATATCATTGCTTAAGACAACTTACAGAACTTCATTTTTGATCACATTTTACAACGCGCTAGTAAAAAATTAGGGTATGGGGGAGTACCCTTTGCTATTTTCATACGCTAAACTACCGAGAATTACTTTGCCTAAGGCCAACTGTACAGTTTAACTGAATATTTGCGCTTTATTTTATTACGAAACACACCAATGCTACATGTATACTTAAATAATCTCCATTGTTGTCAAATCACCTCACTACAGTCCTGAATTTTCTTTATACTACCATGTTATCTTTTAATGATGGCATTTCTTCCTCCATCACTTAAATGATAATCCTAATCTGCATCTATACACATTAGTGACTGTCGGCATTCATTGATCAGTGATTATAGGGCAATCAATGCCATATAATGTGGTTCACAGTGATGATTTTGTTCATTGGATAAAGTGCCCAATGTGGTCATCAAGTTGGAATAGCCATAGGCTCGCAGTTCATACTGATCTGGGATAAAATCATTAAATAGTACTGGACATAGCTTTCATGCTAATTGGCACTTGTTATTTTTTTATTATTTTATTTGGATTACAGCTTGATGCCACACCGTATTTTCATTAAAAGTATGGAATTTTTAGCATGGATATCGATAGCCCAAATTTTGCAGGCCGACCATAGATATCGGGTGTGCGTCGGCAGGGGATCGAACCCCGGACCATGCGCATGGTCGGCGAGAGTCCTAATCACTGTACCACCGACGCACAGCAAAGCTTATCTGAAACATCTGACACCTGAATTAGTGTCGGTTAAAGAAATCATGACAGTTTTATTCCTCCCACTATTGGCCTCAGACGGGATTCTATTTATATCAAAGAATGCATCCTGTTTTCGGATACTAAACTGTAGTGCTTCATTTGCTATGCTAACTAGCCGTTTAGGTGGAATTGAATTAGGGGATAATAGTCGTTTTTATTAGCCCTCATATCTGTACATGAACCCACTTCCCGAACTTTTAATTCTGTTGTATTTGTGCCTGTATAATTTTCGTGAAGAAGTGTAGAAAACCCAGTGTCAGAGTCTAAAGTAATTGTCCACAGACAACTCATTTCTACAGAATCGAATATCGGTGGTCGCATTGTGTTGTGATTGTGGATACCAGTTATTTCCTAATATACTATCCAGCTGAATATGCCTTGGGCAGGTGTGGGGTATCAGAAGCAACCTAACCATCCAGTTAGGTTGTGGCGTATACTGCATTTTAGTCTGTCTTTGCAAGAGCAGTTCATGTGAAGGAGTGGACCATCTATACCGCACGAACGTCGCATTATCAGTTAAAGTGACTACACAACAGTCATGAACACTATTTCCGGCTGAAGTAAACAAGCAAATGATCTCATAAGCTGTCGATGTATGGGAGTATTAGTATTATTATTAGTTCAGGGTTATCGAATGCCCCTACTTACATTTATCAGAGCGTAAATTGACCTTCTGACATATTTAATTTAACTTCGGGGAGAAAATAAGCTCAAAACTAATGGGTGGCTTGTAGTAACCAACATGATACAATATTAACAACCTTAACAATATCTGAGAGGTATGTGGATATGTGGGGCTTGTACGACATAATTTGCTATGGCCATTCAAATGTAGTAAGTGATCAGGGAACTCAGAAGGTGGAACGAGTTACGAAGTAGGAACAACATCTTCTGTATCATTTGTTAGGCTTCCTCTATCTATTGAATAATGAATGTCCTCCCTGTTTTTTGACTAGGCTTTGCGCTTCACTTGCACTGCTGTGCTTTGACAACATATAGGTTAAAATACACTTTCGGTCTTCTATAATATTATGAGCTGTTAGTCAGTAATTTGAATAACTATTTTGATAGAAAAGGCGGTTTCTAAATTGGTAAACCAGTTTTGTTCACATTTTGCGTTCTATTTGATCACAGCTGACTATAATCTATATATTTATGTTTGGTAGTTTTGCGGATTTTTCTCCACTGGTACGTACTATCTAGTTTAATCCCTTTTCGTGCATTATAATACCTCGTTCTTCTAGCATGAAAATCGACCTTAAAAACTCTACCTCTATGGATTTGGATCCCTTAGGAGCTACCAAATTTAGATTACCTAACTTGATTTATATGACTATGATTTGCTCAACAAGTCCACCACTTCTGACGGCAGGGCATTGGGTCCAAAACCAACAGGCATAGGGATGTGTGTCTTCATTTGCTTTACGAGATTAGCAAGGAGGTGATGGACCTTATACTTCATCCCTTAGACGAGCAGCCATGCAGTGTCTAAGCACATGGCGATAAAACGCCTCTAGATTCCAGCAGACCAGCGAATAAAATGGCCGCTTTAAGAAGAGGACATGGGAGATACAACCCCATCTCGGTTCTTGAGCCATCTACAGCAGCTTATAGGTTACAGTATTGTGAGATACGCAGTACTGAAGCAAGGTTGTGCAACAGGCATTAGATTCATAAGATCCTGTCTCTTATCTTTAATAGCTAGCATGCATTGCTGATCGGATGTTGGGAATGAGACTACTTACAGAAGGGTGGATGAATCATATGAGTGTGGGCGAAGCATCTTCATTATTTAAATGTAACCAAGATGCAAGTAATAATTGGGGGCTGCGTTATGAATGATAGATACGGTAGGTTGTTGATAAAATGTTAAAATTATGCTGTAAAACGTTATTAACTTTACTGATAACAGTGTACTTTAGCAGTATTAACTGTAAGCGACTCACCACGCTAGTCAGTGTCCAGTTAGACTTGCAAAGAAGTATCATTACATCGACAGCAAACACTAACAGGTAATTTTCAGTCAACACGCGGCTAACTACCAGAACAAAGGAGAACTAATTCACAAATGAGGCTGAAAATTGTCATCATATTGATCAGTGAAATTAGAGATGCAACCGTTAGGATATTTTCACTATTTCTTAAGTTTCCGGGTTTATTGGCGTTGTACAGATAGTGACTGGGGTTAATTTATTGGTATAAGAGTAACGTTAAACAAGTGACATCCCGGATGCATCACAGAAGAAAAGCATCGGGTTTTTTATAGGATCAGTATCCATAAAGGTCTTGAGATTTCTTCAGATTTCTATTGTAGGTCGCTAAATATTTGCATTCTTTACTATCATTCAGAAAGTCATATGAAGGATAAAATGGTGAGAAAAAAGAAGAAAAGCAACGGTGGTACAGAAAGAAACATGAAGAGTCCTCAAGGAGTGACTTGTAAATTATATATATATCTACTTTGTATAGAAACCGTGGTTCCTGTCGATACACTGACTAACTAGCTCTGTTGTGCTAACTTTTATATTACATGTATGACACGAAAATATATAAAGATTTTATACGAAATATAAATTATTAAATAAATTCACGGGACCACATATCGTGTATTTCGGTGATTCTCTTTCTCTGATCGTTAATTATTATCTTATGCCAGGATGCCACGCTGCTCACGAAGGATGGAAAGGAACTTACACCGTGGAGCAAGAAAGCCATGGCACGCAAACCTGACCTCTCTGACAGGTCTCTCATTCTCCACAAAGTGGAAGTACCACCGGCCTCCGATCCCAAGGTCGGCTTTTAGCATCACCCTAACTTCATCAAGCCGATCTTAGAAAAGAAACTGCAAGCGACAGTATCAGGCACAACCATATACAGCTCATATTGAATCGGGCAAAAGCGTGACTCGACGGCAAATCAGGCGACACACCTTCTCAAGGTTGTACTAAACTCCAAAGAAGAGACGGTTGCCATTCTAAGCAACTCTCAAACTCTTAAAGGATTAGGCACATTAGTTCATGCCGACTTATGCCTAGCTGACCGCCTCAAAAAGACAGTCTGCGGCTCTAGAATTAAGTGAACGACGCCGAAACGGCAAAAAACCTTAAGGTTTAGGGTTTCAGGTCGTCAAAGTTCAAAGTTTCAGACGTTTCGAATGCGATCGTCTCAGCAGCCAACTCAGCGAACTGGTACATCAACTCAGAGTCCGTAATAGAAGCCGCATGGAACCAATTTAAACAACTTTACGCCTAAGTAACTGAACCTTTCATCCATTGGTCTGTCTCAAAGGGTCGGAAACATTTCCCCTCTAGGATAAGAAGAGAGACTCTTGAGTTACTCGGACGAAAACACAAATGTTGGGACCTGGTGGCCACACTTGCGACTCTTGAGATCAGGAAAGTATGCAACACTGCAAGGAATAAAGCTATTTCAGAAACCCGCCAATCAAGGATGAAGTTAGAAGCACATCTGGCTCAAAATGCAACGGCGCAACCTAGGAAAATTTTCTCGTACATTAACTTCAGGAATAAAACATCCAATGGTGTCCCAAACCTGACTATTGACAATGAAACAATCGAAGGAGATCAAGAAAAAGCAGAAGCAATGACAGACTATTTCTCCCGAGTATATGCACAGGAGTAGTTACTCCCCATAGGATCAGCTCTGACTGCATCACAGAAACATGGGATAGATTCCGTTGATGTCCACCAAGACATCGTGCTCAACTGCCTAATGAAACTAGATGCAGGGAAATCAATGGGTCCTGATAATCTTCATCAAAGGCTTCTCAGGGGGCTGTCAGCTCACATAGCCCGCACATTGACCACGATCTTCAAGCTATCTCTCCTAAATGAAGTGTTACCGTGTGACTGGAAAGATGCCATAGTTGCCCCATACATAAAGGAGGATCAAGACAAAGCCCTTCAAACTACAGGCCTATTGGTCTCACCAGCACTTTTATCAAGACACTGGATAGAAACGTATCATAGCATATCTGGAAAATAACAATTTGATATCCAGAGCATAGCATGGCTTCCGAGGAAACCTCTCATGCCTATCAAATCTCCTCACTGCAAAAGAAAGCTGGGTCAAATCAAGGGGCGACAGAAGACCCGTTGATGTCGTCTTCGCAGACTTCAGCAAAGCCTTCGACAAAGTTCCCCGAAAAG